TAATTATATATAAATTAGGTACTGTATATATAATTATATATTAACTTAATTTATTGTAACTTTATTATAATTATATATATAATTTCCGCCGTCTAGCACAACGCTATGGAGAATTTAGGCTAGTAAGTTCAGTTTATTATCGTCTGTACAATATGTAAATTAGGTAAAAAGTCTAATGCAGCACTAATTTTACACTCTTGTGAAAGAAACATTTCTTATTCAATGACCATAAAAATTATTTATATTAATGATGTCTCCAAAGGTCAAGTTATTTTTCTGCGAAAAATTCGTTATCAGATATCACGGCCGCCGTTTTGTGCGCTGTTCCGCGACGAAAACAAGCTTGAGCAACGGCGTAGTCGAACGGTGCACACTCGGTAAGTAATTCTACAATTTTTTGTTTATAGCATAGTTTATACGGATTATTCCCAAAAAATTATACATGTTTTGGAAATGTTGAGTGGAATTAGTCTAGAATCGGTTAATTTTATAGAAGAAAACCTTTCAAACAGCCTTAGTCCGTAAACTTCACACATGTCGGGCTGTGATTGGCTCATGTATTTAACAATTCCTACAACGTAAAATTCGATTAATGTGGAACGTATCTAAGCATTATAGGGGGGTCTACTGTATTTAATATTGTCTTTCCTTAGCTGAAATTTAAAACTATATTTCCATTTAATCATTCAGTATAACCTAATTCAAATTAAACAATACCAATAATGGATAAATTTAAATTTATTATTTCAAGAATGTATATAAATATAAAGATATTTACCTGTACTTAATTGTTTCATGGTATTTTCGTCTACGGTAACGTTTATTTGTTTTTCTCCAAAGCACAATACGATGTTAAACATTTTCGATGTGGAGGCATCCATTTTGCTTTACACATGTAGCGGACGTAAAAGTTGCTTTATCTTTGCTGCAGCGACTCCTTGCAGCAAACATTTAAAAACAGTTTGCTACATTGCAGCACTGCATTTACAAATGGGTTTCAGAGTGTTCACTGTAAAACGTTCTTGAGAGCTGCATAAAAAAATGCGGCCTTTGTTTTTGCCACTTTCTGACTGGTTTCTTCTAGAATGGGATTTTGTCAACATATAACTAATAGCAAACATCAGATAGATGGATTGCTAATAGTAAGATGTTATTCTAGAATTTTTGTTTTTGATCAAGATTGTGATGCTAGTCACCCTTAACTAAATAGAACCTCAAAATAAACATAGCTAAAACAAAATAAATGATAACAAAGTAAAATTGGGTTCTCCCTCACATCTGCAGAAAGAACTACTGAGAAAATTTCAATCAAGTTTGTTACATACTGTCCTGAGTATGCAATTTCAATTTTTTGGAAAAAATTTTACTTCAAAATTTAGTCACTGCTGTCTCCTTAATATGCATTATATATGTGTAATGTGTTTTACATACATTTTCTAATGAATTTCAGGAGTTAACAAAGAAACAAAGTGTAACAATTTTATTTCAATTATAGCAGGCATTTAATAAGTAATGCAGGATCAAAGTTAGCACCATAACTATTCACCTGTCAAAGAATTCTGAAGCATGCTTTACAACTCCTTTTATATCTGAAATTCATTAGAGAAGATACACAATGTGCACATTAAGGGACAGCAGTGCCTAATTTTGGTACTAGCAGCTGAATTTTGATGTAAAATTTTTTCCAAAAAAATCAAAACAGCATATTCAAGTTAGTATTTATACAAAATTTAGTTGAGATTTATCTAATAATTCTTCCTATACAGAGCTCTAAACACTCACTTTTTAATTATGATCACCCTGAAAGTTTAAAAGATTTTTAAAATGAGAACGATATGACAAATATAAAATGAAAAAATTTTCTGTTTACACAATAAATTTTGTCAAATTATAAATACCATTCCTAAACTGAATAACAATAGAGATTTCAAACATAGTCAAGTCTAATTAATTTGAATTTTTCAATAAATTAAATTCACGACTATTCTTCTGAAAATTCATAAATAGTGTTAAAAAACAGTTAATTTGAATTCTTTTAAGACAAATTTGAATAAATTAGATAATTGGATAGTGTATTTCAAAGTTGCATATAGTAAACTGACTTATAGAATGCATTTTAGGAAATTCTGAAATGTGCATGTTCTGTAAACCCCTAGGACATAACATGCCAGGTATTTGAGTTTATACTAGTTATTTAGCTATAATTTTATAATGTCTAAACATGAAACATGTTTATGTTTAGTTTAAAAAGTTGAAATTATATTTTCATTCTTTCTGTCTTGTGGGCACTAAGAGGACCTTTTAATCAAGCTCATCATGGGTTCACTTTATTAGAGAAGTGGAAAAGAAAGTAAAAAATAAAGAATAGTACTAAACACTAAAAACTTGGAAGAAAATTAGTTTAATTTTTAAAAACTGATGATTAAAAAATTTTTTAGTTTTATGAGAAAGAAACTTGAACTTCTAGTGTTAATTTGATATAGAATACAATTTTAAGTTCTTGCATATTTTTGTCATTTTTGTAAAAATTGTTTCTAAAACATAGCAACTTAAAAAACAATTATTCTATGAACCAATGACCAGTGTGCAACAAAAAAAACAAAAGAGAAAGTTAGCAACTTAACACCAGAAATCAGAGTTCCTTTCACATATCCTTTTTGGTATAAAGTGCAATTAGTTTTTCATTTTTCAGATTTCTCCTCTGTTCAAAGCAAAGATAATTCACTTTCTTTATATATTGTGAGATTTTATGCATTTCCATGTAAAAGTAATTCTTTGAATAGCTATAAATCATTAAGTTTAAATATATACAAGCAAGTTTTTTCACTGTTTATGTAATTGTACATTCTTTTTGTAGTAATTCTGATAATGAAGAAAATGATCCATGAAATTACATAATATTACAAGTATTTTATATTTTCAAAGAAACTCACTGAATATTTTTTAAGGTATAATTTATGAAATAGAATTAATAAAATTATTAAATATTAAAAGAAAAATAAATAATTATAAAATTTAAAATATTTTTTACCTGTTCCCTAATATTTAAAGCTGCCCACTGATATAATAAATGCTCATTCTAAAAGAAATAAAAATATAATTAAAAAGTGAATATAAAAATAAGCAATGATAGAGAATAATTTTTTACTATTTTCTTTCATGTAATATTTGCTTACAATGTAGTAAAATGTACTAATGATTAAAATAAATATTAAAATAGAATAATAATAAATTAGTAGCAAGACATGAGGTTTACAGTAGTTTCAATAGTCAGTAGAAACATATTTAGATTTTGCTACAGGCTAGCCATTAGTTATTTCACTGATTAGTCTGTAGCAAAATCTGAACATGTTTCCACTGACTACTGCAGCTACCGTAACTATAAACCTTATGCCTTACTACTTTATTTGTTGTGAGCCAACAGTTTATGTAAATAAGCAAATCCACACACTCATGCTGAGAAATTTTAGTTTTATTTAAAGAAAACTAAAAGTAACAATAAGAAACTGGTAATGTTTCATGTTCTTGCAATCATCTGCATATCAAGTTTAAAAAAGAATGCATTCAATCCCCAGAACATATCTAATTACAGAAGTTTGCAGCTGGCCCTACTTAAGTTGAAAGTGATTTGACCACATAGGAATGCTATGTAATTATAGTTTACATTTAGTAGTACAGCATGTGCAAAATGATGCACCATGTAATAAATACACTACACACTTGTCCCTGATGCTTTGGCTATAAGCTTTTATAAACAATTTCTGTATTTCTTTTGGGAAATACTATGTACTTATGTATTGACATCATATCAAATTTACAAATTTATCACCTGTATGCAAGACTTTTATGTAAAAATAAATAATTTTTGGAATATAGATACACCATTTTTTCATAGTGACAGTAAATAAAATTCATGAATGTAATTATATAATTAAAATCGAGATTTAAAGATGTGTGAATATTAAAAACTTCATACAGTAGTAATTCAAATATACCTACTTTCAAATGTACATATTTGAATTCATACTTCAAATGCATTGGAGTTCAAATGCCTAATTTGAAAAATTTTCATCTTGGAATGTGTTAAATTTCACAACTGTTATAATTAAATCATACATATATGTGAGGAGCCAAGGACATAGAGTTCAAATATCACTCTTGAAACTCTAGGTCACTTAATCAGCACGCAATCTTTTAGATTGAATCGCAACATCAAAGGATGGCTTCCTAAGACTTAGAATAAAGAACAGAATTTCGTAAGAAACCCACAAAAGTTGTTTTCCTGATATCAGCCTAGATATAGTGTTAGGCACACTTATTTCTCTTTTTAGAAAAATTTTAAATGGGAGGATCGTGAGTAAGTGGAGTGGACATAGGCTCGGTTTTTAGTCAAAGATGAGTCCATATTAAGAGATAACAAAAACATTTAATAAAACAAATCAAATAAACAAAAAATAATAAGAGTACAAAATGAGAAAGCTCCTAACTCGCAAGAGAGAGAGAGAGTTTACATGGATTCTAATGTCATACTACCTTATCAAATATCATAGAAGTATTCATAGTCATAGTCTTCTATTGGAAATGTGGATCAGGAGAATAAATCTTTTATCACTTCCTGTTGTAAATATGGCACTTCAAATATTATGGGAGATAGTCCTTAGTTATATATGGCAATCTTATTACAGAGATAGCCACTTCCGTGGCCAGTTCAGATAACAGGTTCTGCTTCAAACGAACTGCGCGAAAAGGTGTGAAAGCTACCCTTTTTTATAGGGATGGCTGATTCATCTGCACAGAACAGTGAGTAGCTCTACTCAGTCCAGAAAGGAAGTTCATTTCCTCCCTTCCTCAGAAACGAAAAATATACATCCTTTCCATTAAAATTTTATCAAGAAATAAAATATTTTGTTATAATATTTTAGTAATAAATCTAATTAACCCACAAATCTCATATATATGTTAAGTAACCATAGCTGTTAAATTTACACAAAAACTTTCTGTTCAACCCAATGTAACCTTTACTTATTAACCATGAATCCCAGAAGTGCGTAGAAGCAACAGTCTAAGACAAAGATTGTAATATTGATGATTGAAGTAAAAAAAGAACTTATCACAAAGCATGAAAGTGATATGTGTGGTAAATCTGACAGCCATAATTAAGATGCTGATGTCAACAGTGTATGACCAGTAAATGTAATTTTCATTTTACTATACAGTATTTGTGTATTTTATTTGTTTTCATGTTTTAATTTATTAGGGTAGTTAAATGTATTATTTTTAGCTTAAATTATGTGTATTTTCTGTTTTAAGTTTATCAAAATGGCTATTCTTTAGAATCTGGGAATGGACTAATTCACTTTCCATTATTTCTGATGGGAAAAATCAATTTGAACTTTAAACAAGTCAGAGTTCAAATGGCCTCCTGGAAATGATTAAATTCAAAGTATAAGGAATCACTATACTCAAAAACTCATCCTTTTACTTTCATATCTTTTAAACTGTTTATTTTATTATAAATGTTATAATTTTTAAATTAATAACTAAAAACTTTAAGTTATTAATTTAATTTCTGAATTAAGTGAGTGTTTTATTCTTAATATTTAACAGATATAATTATTTTAATAATAACTGCTTGAAGAAACTTTTAAAGAATAAAAATATTTAAAAGATTTTGAAAAATTTCTCATTACACTGGACAACAATGATTTTGTTTCATGCTCAAAATTAGCATATTCTTATGTATTTTCATCTGCTGAATTCAAAAATCACTATAAAAATGACCAATTAGCTCTTGCTTTGGAGCAGTGGTTTCCAACCAGTGGTCTGCAAGAGCTAAAATATGGTCCGCAAAAGATTTAAAACTTTTATTCATTTTAAATTATAATTTAAAATGATTGACGTAATCTAAATAATACAAAATATATGAGAAAGGTTTTATAGTAAAATTTATAAAAAAAATGTTTCATTACAAAATAGTGCATCTTCAATTATTTCAAATTTTTGTTGGTGTTTTTTCTGTAAAACTCCTCAGATCAGCATATAATAAAACTCCACTCTATTATAGAATATATATTTATGCAAACATGACAGCCCTCCTTGACTCAATCAATTATGCTGAGCACAAGTGGAAAATATGTGATCTAAAAGTCATCGCTGTACTCTTAGGAATGCATACTGGGGTACACTAAATAATGTTGCTTTTTATGTATGTGGGACAGTAGGGATAGGAAATCACATTTACATTCAAGTGGACTGGCCTGCAAGAAATCTTGACTCTACTAAGAAAAATATCGTTGCCAAGCCTCTTGTGGACCCAAAAGATGTTCTTCTTCCACCCCTTCATATCAAGCTGGGTTTAATGAAAACTTTTGTCAAAGGTTCATACCTTTGACAAAAGGCATTTAAGTACTTAAGAGACAAATTTCCTAGATTGAGTAATGCAAAGGTTAAGTAAGGTATTTTTGTTGGGCCACAAATTCGAAAACTTGTAAAGGATCCCACGTTTGACAAAGTTTTGGACGGAAAAGAAAAAGAAGCTTGGGAAGCCTTAAAGGGAGTTATTCATGGATTCTTAGGCAACAAAAGAAACGATAATTACTCTCAGTTGGTGACAATACTTCTGGAAAAATATCATTAACTTGGATGCAACATGTCCCTCAAAATCCATTTTCTCCATTCCCACCTAGATTTTTTCCCTCCTAGTTGTGGAGCTGTCAGTGATGAACATGGGGAAAGATTCCACCAGGATATTTCTGTATTGGAACAAAGATATCAGGACCATTGGAATGAAGCAATGCTTGCGGATTACTGTTGGTCTGTGTGTAGGGATGCACCAGAACTCACAAGAGGCAAGCCAAAGGAAAACGATCTCATGAAGTCACTACATGATTCGCTTTACACCGAACCACCTGCTAGGTATTCTTCTATTAATTTAGAACTCTTAGAATGTTAGTGTAATTTTAAAAAAATTCAAAAGCACTTTCAATGTTGTTAGCATATGTAATTAAAATGTATTGTTTTCTCTTATGCTGTTAAAATCACCTATTGTATACCACAAAAACTACAGCTAATAAAAATTTTTCTTTGTCATATTCAATTTTCTCACCCCAAAATTAGTAAGATTTCACTCATGAAATAAAGGAAACATCCAAAAACATTTTTTTTTGTTGTCCAGTGTTATTGACAAATGCATTGTATTTAAAAAGTCAAACTATCATTTTTGTAATAAATTTATTTAAATTTTAATTTAGTTTAACACTAAAATGCTCTCAGGACAAGTGAAAATAATATTTACCACTATTTGCCCATGCAAATCTTTATTAGGAGGCTCTACAGTTAAAAGTTCTTCAAACTGATCCATTATCTGCAAAAATTAAATATATAAATTAATGAAATTAATTTAAAATATATGATCTCCCCTCAAATTAGTACAGTAGACCCCGCTATAACACAGGTTCATATAACACGGTAAAATGTCATCGCCGACTCATGTCACGACAGGATTGGTCAAATCTGGACCAATAGCGGATATTGCACAAACCGTTGAGTTTAAATGAGCAGCAGACCTACTAAAAACCATTTATTATTTAACAGCCATAAAAATTATATTTATATTAATGATGTCTCCACAGTTCAGCGAATTTTTCACAGAAAAATAACTTATCAGGAAATACGCACCCACTGTTCAATGAGCGCTCCGCGATGAAAACAAGCTTAAGCAATGGCATCGTCAAACAGTGCACACTCGATAAGTAATCCTACAATTTTTTGTTTATAGCATAGTTTATGTGGATTATTCCCAAAAAATTATATGTGTTTTGAAAATGTTGAGTCAAATTAGTCTAGAATTGGTTAATTTTGTGGAAGAAAACCTTTCAAACAGCCGTAGCCGCTAAACTGCATTTGTGCCGGGCTGTGATTGGCTCATATATTTAAGTGACACAGGAATTCATATAACACAGAATGTATCTACCGTGTTATAGGGGGGATCTACTGTATTTAGTGTCTTTCCCTGTACATCATACTTTTCCATTAGCAATGGAGTCATGCAGATCATCTATCTAACTCCTTTCAGAGGAAACTTTTTTAATTGAAATAACATGACTTTTGGATTTGCATAAGAAGTTCATATATATAGATATATAAGAAGTCATATATATAGATATATAAGAAGTTCATATATAGTTAATCGGGACCTCCTGCCCCTACACTTTCCATATCTGATCTTAAATTTCATTTACCTAACACTGTTCTCAAGATTAAGGAAAGACAGACAGAAAGATGGACAACAGTGAAAATTTATAGGTCTACAATTTTTTCAAATTGCAGCCCAATTATATGTATAGCAAATACATAATAAAAATATGGTTATTTTATTCTTACATATTTAATGCAGAATAAACATGATTTTAATATGATAAAATATTTTAAATGTAGCTGAGTATTGAAAATGAAATATATTCAACAAATTTTGATTCTGTTGGATTATACTGATAATGGAATATTTGTTGAAGAAAATGAGATCTTTTTATAATTTTCTTGCAATAGATTAGTTACCTTAAGGTACATAGTATGTTATAGTTATGATAGTTATACATAACACAACTATTACAGACATTTTGTTGCAATCAAAAACATGCAGATGAGATTTGTCAGCAATTCAGATGTTTATACAATGCATTGCAATGTGATTTGTAAATCATTCTGAGCATGCACAAAAGCATTCATTTCTCTCAAGAGTGATGAGATTGCATTTTTAACATGTGATTTTGATCTTGTTGTTCATTGGCTTGATGATTGCAACTCATTGAATCAGGTTGCCAACAAGTCAAAGAGTTTGTTCAAACAACACAAATCTGCATATATTCTTATTTTGAGTAACAAAATGTCGGCAGTAGTTGTATCATGTAAACTAGTCTTTATGAAGTAATCATCTAATTTATATAATTTTTCATTGTGGTCATGTTCATTTGTGCAATATTTTATTACTTTGTACAAGTTTTCCATTATTATCATGAATTCAATTATTGTACAGTATTCAGTTTTTTAATTCATTCATTAGACTTTCTGTAGTTACAACATGATTATTATGCTTTGATAGCTATCAAACTTTATGTAAATAATCTTCATTTCAGCCATTGTATTTGTCTCTCATTTTTGCTGGGTCATGAATATACTATAATGTTAATTCATAAGCCATCAGCAAATCGTGACATTTTGAAATAGTATAGAATTCAAACAAGATTTTACTTAACTGTTTGCAATACTAAGAAAATTATTTTTTAGATAACTAACTCATTTGTACAATAAAGAATCTAAATGTTTATTGAAACTGTTTCTTTTGTTAAACTGAAGAATTATTATAAGATGTTATAATAATAATCCAATTTTAATAAACAACTTCTCTAATCTAATACAGGTATGCACTGCTTAACAATGGAAATATATTCTGAGAAATACATCATTAAGTGATCATCCTAAGATGGCTCCACACACTTGGTATTTGCTGATCACCAAATAATTGCCTTTCACCACAATATTTGCCAAACTGTTTTTTGTATGGTAAGCACATATATACACACACATGATTATTTGAAATGATTATTTGAAGAACACCACTTCATTGTGGGAATTATGAATATCAATCAATCAATCATTTATTTGTTGTGGCTTTTGCCTTTACAAAGGGGTTACAGAATTCGTAGCAACATTATTAAATACAAACATTGTTACACATAATTGTAAAAGATTATAAGTAAAATAACTTAAATTAGTAGGGCTATGTTAACATGTTCAATGAATAACAGAAAAATTTATAAATTTTATATAACATTACAGAACATATAAATTATCATTGTATAAACAAAACATATTAAAGTCAATTGTCAAAAAAGTATCCTTTAAGTGTTCAGTAAATTCACAATATACAAATAGATGATTCTTAGCATTTTCAAAAAATCTATTACTTAGTGGGCAATTAGAGTAAGCTGATATATTTATTCTATGCCCATTTAATACAATAGTATAGTCATTAAGTCATAATTGTATTATTAAAGATTTAATTTTGTAATTTAAGTTTGATAACAGATAATATTGAGATATCCTTGGGAATGATAGAGAAGTTTAAAAAAAAATTACACTTTTGCTCAATATAAAGAATATCTTGGGCCCAATATTTATCTTTTTAATGACTTGAAAAGTTCAGCTAAAAAGAGTTTTTTATCAGGAAATTGAGCATAGTAAGCAATTGAATAACCTAAATCAGAAAAAAAACATTCAATTAAAGAAGGCCAAGTTACAACCAAAGAATTACTACCTATTAGTTTCAATTTATTATAGACCAACTTTCTAAGATCAAATTCTGGTAACACTAAAATTTTAAACCAGTATTAAAAATGGTCAATGCTAAATGTATAGCCCAGGGGTGGGCAAGAAAAATTTCAATGGGAGTCAAAATGTCGGTTTTGCAAATTGCATGAGAGCCGCAGTTCTGTACTTTTTTTATTCTGTACCACAGTTCTGTACCACAATTTTACTATGTAATATAAATATAATATAAAACAAATATTGAATTTTTTAATAAACATACTTTCACAAAAGTGTGGAAATAAAATTGTAAAAATAATAATAAAAAGCAGAAATTAACACTTTCAGCAAGAGCCGCATGTAACTCAAAAAGAGCCACATTTGCCCATGTCTGGTATAGCCATTGGCGGTCAACCCAATTCAAATCTTTAAACAGTTCCAGGCACCGAACAATTAATATGAAATATCAACCTGATAAATCTCAGTTGCATCTTCTATAGTTTATTGACAAGAGATGGTCCCCAAATAGAAACATAAATCTCAAACTTGAGCGTATCAAGGAATCAATCAAAAGTATGACTTAATAGAAGACTGCTTCATTCTAACCATGAGCTTTATTAAATTAGCAAGATGAAATTTATATTTCAAAAACAATTTATCTAGGTGAAAAGAAAAAGAATCCTTTGGAGTAAAATAGATACCCAAATATTTATAAGACGAGATGACTTCTAACTCAGAGTTAGATAAAATAAAATTTATCAGCTTTTCCCAATCTGCCCCCTCTCCAAAAACCATTACCCCCTCTCCAAAAACCATTACTTTGGATTTAGCCTCATTAATTAAGTTTATTAGACTTACAATAATCCTGTAGAAGGTTAAGTTTCCTCTGAAGGCCTGTAGGTGAACATGAAAATATTACAATATCATCGGCAAACAAAACACAGTTCAGTTCTACCTCCAGTGATATAGATATACCCATAGTATTATGACTGAAAAAAGTCTAGGAGATCATTAACAAATAAGTTAAACAAAAAGGGTTAAGTTGTTCACCTTGTGGAAGACCTTTATTAGCAATTACAGCTTCTAAAACATGATTAACTTCAATTTGTCTTATAAGATTAATAAAAGAAGAAATACCTATCTAAGAAAGCTTCAACCATAAAATATCATGATCTATTGTATCAAACCCTTGACAAATCAATGAATCCAACATATAATTTATCACATTTCTTAATTAAAACTAATCGCATAATTCCAAGAAAAAGGAATAAACTGTATCCAACACCTCTAATCGCTACAGAAGCACCCTGACTAAAAAAAATAACATGAGACCACTCAACCAAAGTCTCAAATGATTAACCAATAACATAAAAAAAATTTTCCTAATTACTCTGATTAGCGATATTGGACAATAATTCAGAGGATCAGAATGGTTACTCTTCTTGTATATCATTTTTAAGAAAATATTCTTCCAAATAGTAGGAAAAGAATAATTAGTTTTAAAATTATAAAATAAAAGTAACGAATTGTTTATAACATTAATCGGGAGAAATTTAATCATCTCAGCCTTATTAGCATCTAAGCCAGGGGCTTTATTATTTTTTAAAGAATGCACTACAAATTGTAATTCATCAAAAGAAAAATTTTCGTCAAGTAATGGATCCATATTGTCATCAGTACAAATGGACAGTACAGCCAAAGATGATCCAGAGAAATAGATTTTCAAATAATCCGACCAATCACAAATAGGAATGTTATTATATGCAAGTTTGTTAGATCTAAATTTATTAACAATCTTTCCAAAATTCAGCAGAGTTTTTAATTTGCAATATCTGAAAGTTAATCTTATTCCAAAACAATTTCTTTTTGGCCTTACAGAGGGATTTAAAATTTTTATTTAAGTTAGAATAAGTAATAAATTGTTGCTTAGATCTTGATTGCCTAAATGATCGCAGAGCATGATTTTTCTCTCTTTTCAATCATAAACAATCAATGTCAACCAATACTTCACAAAGTTTCTTGAACAATCATATTTGACATACATACCACTTTGAACTA